AGTATCAAACTATGAAACTGAAACGTTAAAAAAATCAGAAATCCTCTACCTCACTCTAATAAAATGAGAGTTGAAAGAAAGAGAAAGTAAACTATTTTCTCTTCCTTATCTAGGTTATTTATACTAAAATAAGTAGAAGGGCTAATTGAAGGGTCATGTGAAGGGCACATGGTCAATTCCGCTTTAAGGTAATCGGTCGAAGAGCTGCGACGTCTCAACGAAAGAGGAAGAAATGGTTTGCATGCTTGCCCAATGCAATGACCACACTCTTACTCTCGGCCTTCTTCATTGCATTGGACGATTCAACGAACTGGAATCATCCAACGATGAAGTTGTTTCCTTTCCAAGCTATCCATTTATCTAAAGAAGATAGAGAATGCGATGAAATGAGGAGGAGATTGTCAAACCGTAAAACCAAAATTTTAAAAAAGAAACAAACACCAGTAAACATTCAAATGAAACAAAGCGTTACACTGAAATTAAAAGTAAAGGAGCATTGAGTGAAAGCTTACTGTGAATAATGAGATGATCACCACGCTGGATAAAAGGAAAATCCTCTACCTTATTACCTTAACCTGCAAAAGCAATAAAATGAGAATCGAATGAAAGAGAAAGTAAACTATTTTCTTGTCCGGCATTTATACTGTTAAGATCCAAGCCTAATAATCAATCTCCAATATCAATCAATCACACAGTCAAAACAATCCACACAATAACACAATCAAGAATAGACATAAGGTTTTTGCTGTGGTTCACCTATCCAAGATTGGATATATTATATCAACATTAAGCTCTAGAATATTTAGGGCTCATTGCACTAATTAATCAAGAATTTACAGTTTACAAGAACAAAGATCAATCAATCTTTCACTCATTCGCATCCAAAACTCACTTTGTAACTCCTAATCTAGAGAAACTCTCCCTTGTATCTCTAATCTTTGAGAGAATAAATAACCCCCACAGAATGACTAAAAAATAATCACTCACGCACTGAAGCTACACTGATTTTGGATTGAAAAATGGAAAAATTATGAGAGCACTAGCTTTTTTCCCGAAAGAGAGAAGAAGACTGATATAAAATCTACAATTTGGGGCTGCTTGTATAATGTTGACTTGAAGTGTAAATCTCAGACATTGAATCACGAGTAATACTAGCCTTACAAAGAGGCATACAAAGAGACAAATTCAGTCCTTAAAATTTATGATTGTCTCTTTCTCTCTCTCTCTTTTTCCCTTCTTTTAAGGATTGGATTTGTCTTTTTGTATGCTTCTTTGTAAGACTAGTATTACTCTTGGATCACTATTACCATCGACGATCAGTATTCTCCCAAACATCTTAAAACGGCAGCGCACTACTTAGTCACTTTAAGCACTATGCGACAGCGTTTTTGCGGCTTCACTTCAACATATACTAAATGGAGGAGAAGGGCTGATTGAAGAGTCCCATGAAGGCCTTGTGGTCTAATGTCGCTTCAAGGAAATTGCACGAAGAGTCGTAATGTCCCAAAGAATGACGAAAAAATGGTTCGCATGTTTGCCCACGTTTGGATGCACTGAATGCAATGACCGCACTCTTACTCCCAACCCTCTTTGTCGCATTGCATCATCTAACAAATTGAAATCGTTTGATATTGGTGAAGCTGGTTCATTTCTAGGCCGTTTATTTATTTAAAGGAGATGGAACATACGAAGAAAAAGGGGAGGAGAGTGTCAAACAGTAAAATAGAAACATTAAAAAAGGCAAAAAACATTCAAATGACAAAACAATACACTAAAATTAAAAGTGAGAAAAGATCAGGTGAAAGATTACAGTGAATAATAAGTTGATCACTGTGCTTGCTCGGAATCTTCGATAGAAAAAATGGCAATCCTCTAGCTCACCCTCACTTACACAAGTAATAAAATGAGAAAGTAAATTATTTTCTCTTCATAAGTAGGTCATTTATGCTAAATGGAGGGGAAAGGCTAATTAAAGAGTCACATGAAAGCCACGTGGTCAAATGTGGCTTCAAGGTAACCTGACTAAAGAGTTTTAACGTCTTAATGAAAGATTGAAAAATGGTTTGCATGTTTTCCTATATCCTGATGTGCCACATTATATTTAATGGTCCATCCCTTCTGATGGAGAAGTTGGTTCCTTTTTAGGCTGTCTCTTTATCAAACGGAGATGGAGCTTGCGACGGACGGGTGGTGAAGAGTGTTAAATTGTGAAACCAAAACAATAAAATAAAAGGACAAACACCAGCTAAAAACATTCAAATGAAACCAAAAAAAAAAAACTAAAATTAAAATTAGATATTAAAAGTTCCACTAAAATATCAAAAAGCCTCCAAGTAAAAAAAACCAATAAAACCGAATTGTACTGAAACAAATTTCTTAATTTAGATATTAAACTAACACTGTATGATAATACAATTTTACCTTTCTTTACAAAATTTTCTTGTACAGTACAATTCAATTCGGTCAAAAAATCTTGGAGAGTATTGCATTTCACTATGCATGTGATGAATGATTAACAGTGTTGCCGAATCTTTTTCTGGTATTTTTTGCCAAATGAAGTTGCCAGATGTCTCGTTGTTATCATTGTTGGGTAGATTGCCGATCGATCTACCCAACGGTGTTGATAGTATCGTCGACCGCTCTTCTAAGGACGTTGTTGGCGATAGTGAGCCAAAATATTTTTCGATATTTTCTAAGAAAATGCTTTTGCTAGCAGCTTCTCTATATACACTGTTGGATACATCGTTTGATGATCTATCTAACGGCAGTGACGATGATGTCAAATGTGTCGTCGTAGACTAAGCCCAAATTTCAATGAAAAAAAGTTTAACACTGACCACCCCATTGGTCAGTGTTAAACTTTTTTTATTTTCAAATTTTCATTTAAAATATTTATTATAATTTTTTTAAATATTTCAAAAAATTATTTTTAAATATTTCAAAAAATTATTTTTAAATAATAATAATATTTGTTAATTTAGTTTAGTATTTCCAATGTGGCGCTCGAAAGGCACCCTTAGACCTAGGCATGCAATCGAACTGAACACGAACGAACAGTCCCATTCGAAATTTGTTCGATAAGCATGAAAGGGTGTTTGATTTCGTGTTCGAACTCGAACAAACACACGATGACTGTTCGTGTTCGTTCGATTAACAAAAGGTCAGTTCGTGATCGTTCGACTAACTCATAAATACTTATTCGAATAACTCGTTCGATAACTTGTAAATACTTTTTCGAATAACTCGTTCGATAGCTTATAAATACCTATTCGAATAACTCGTTCAAATATCTGTTCGAATAAAAAATATACACTAACTTTCCAATTCATGCTCTAAAAAACAAATATACAACAATTTATATTTCATACCCATTTAATTCAACATTTGAAAATAAACTAACTTTCTATCTATATTTATATTTTAAATAAATCAATAAAACTCTATATTAAAATAACTAACCATCATAATAATAAAACTTCAAAATAAATTTAGCAATAATAAATCGTTTAAAACAAATTTGATTCCATATCAAACATGACACAAATAAAAGGAATTTGCAATTTGCATATATATATATATATATATATATATATCTATATATATATATATATATTATTATTATATATATAATGTGTAATTGTATATATACAAAATTATTATCATACATATATTAATCATACGTTACATATGTTATGAAATTACAAAAATTATAGGTTATCATATATTTATTATCATTATATAAATTATTATAAATATTTTAAATGTTTACATATATATTTTGTATCAACACCCATAAGTTCATAGTGGAATGAGGATCTATTGTAATATATAATCAATACATATGTGTGATTAATTGTTTTATATATATATTACTGTCTATATATATATTTTATATCAACACCTATAAATTCATAGTGGTATGAGGGTTTATTGTATTATATGATCAATATAAATGTGTGATTAATTTAAGTTTAATTAAACCATTATGTTATTAAATTTGTTATGCTATATATCACTTGATTATACAATATGTTATTAAATTTGTTATGCTATATATCACTTGATTATACAATATGTTATATTCATAAATTTGTCATATTATATTTAATTAAGCTATTATATTATTAAATTTGTCATGCTATATATCATTTAATTATGCAATATGTTATATTCATCAATTTACCGTATTATATTTAACTAAGCTATTATATTATTAAATTTGTTATACTATACATCACTTGATTATACAATATGTTATGTTCATCAATTTATCATACTATATTTATTATTTATTAATTGAAATGCTATCTTATAATATTTAATTATTGATTACATTTGGAAAAATATGAAGTTATTATATTATTGGATTTACTATATTATACATCACTTGATTATATAATCTATTATGTTATTAAATTTGTCATGCTATGTATCATAGTAATTTATTGCTTTTTAATTAAAATGTTATATACTTATATATTTAATTATTGATTACGTTTGGAAAAAAAAAAAATCCAAACATATTATATATATAAGAAAAACAAAAGTATCATAATATTTTATTATTGATCACCGTTAAAAAAAATTCATCCAAACTAAGCCAAACATTATATAAAAATGAAAAAAAAAGAAAAAAAATATAAATTATAATAATGCATTCTATGTTTTTTGAATATAAACGAACGAACAATTGAATGGATTAGTCGAACATATAATGTTCGCAAACATAATCAAACGAACAACTCATGTTCGAACTTGATCGAGCATATTATTGAACGAATATCAAACTGTTTATGAATAGTATTAAACAGTTATCGAACGAACATCGAATTGTTCACCAACTGTTTGGTTAATTAGACCTTAGTGTACTGCATTGATCCACGGTCCATCCCCACTCGTTTGTTTCGACTGAACGAGCAGGACAAAACTGGATTATCTTGATCAATTGATAGTAAGGCCAGGTGGGTAGTTTGGTCATTCGCTTTGATTTTCAAAATAAGGTGAAAAAAAAAAAAAAAAAATTCAAACTTTCTTCTCCCACACCAAAACCTAAAACCCTAGGATGGGAAAGAAAAACAAGAATGAATCATCATCATCTGACCTACTGCAGACCCTGGGAGACTTCACAAGCAAAGAAAACTGGGACAAGTTCTTCACCATCCGTGGTTGTGACGACTCTTTCGAGTGGTACGCTGAGTGGCCTCAGCTACGCGGCCCGCTCCTCTCCCTTCTCGGTCCTCCTTCTGCCCAAATTCTCGTCCCCGGTTGCGGAAATTCACGCCTCTCCGAGCACTTATACGACGCCGGATTTCATGGCATTACCAATATTGATTTCTCCAAAGTTGTCATTTCTGACATGTTGCGCCGCAATGTCCGGGACCGACCCGATATGCGGTGGCGGGTCATGGATATGACTAACATGCAGGTATCTTTTGCAATTTTTTTTTTTAATTTGCTTTTTTTTTTTTTTAACTTAATTCATCTCTGTGAGGTTTAGCTTAATCACATTCAAACGAAAATAATGCATTTGTAAGTAAGACTGATTTTAGGGGAGGTCAAAGAAGTTTTATCTTGATAGTGTGTAGGTGAATTTGATTGGGTTTGGAGGATGGTTTTGAGCTTGTCGGCTTAGTTTCATAACTACTGATATTGTGATGAGTTTGCTTACTTTCGAGCATTCATTGGTTTGGGTTGAATTGCAATGATGGTATATTCTTTCTGTTGATGGGAATACGGTAGTATATGGGTACTCTTGCACTAAAGATATTGAGAAATTGTATTATAGAGGTTTCTAAATGAGTAAGGATTGCAATTCTGGTGGCACTTGGGAAAGAACTATGGATGGTTTTAAAGCCTAATTATGGTGAAGAGAAATTCTAAATGCAATCTCTTTCTCACTCTCTCACTCTCATTGTGACATTTGTATAAGATACAAATGAGATATCGCATTGGTTGATGAATCTTAGATGATCTCCAACTAAAGTATCATTAACAAGGTGTTCTATCGCATTGTAGATTATTATGTAAGATCTGTATCGTTTGATGATGCCATTGGAATTGCTAGAAACATTGTTAAGTATATTGCTAATCCAAATACGTAAGTTACTCGAGGAGATTGGAGCATGCTACTTAGAGACAAATTATTGTCGTTTGAAGAGATTTGATTTGGAATTTTATGTCCAAAGTCTTTCTCTTTTCTGTCTCAGTTTGTCTTGCTTCAATTATTAGCTTGTCAATATTTGCTAGTCAGTTTTGATAAATTGTGTATCTTAATGAATTGTACTTATTTTGATTGATGCTTCAATTTCTTCTTTTGACAATATAATTGTTGTTTTGCTTTTCTTTTCTTTGTTTCTTTATTTTTTTTTTTCTTCTCATTGTTGCAACTTTTACCAGTTTACAGATGAGAGTTTTGATGTTGTACTTGATAAAGGTGGATTGGATGCTTTGATGGAGCCAGAGCTTGGTCCCAAGCTGGGGAATCAGTATCTATCAGAGGTTTCTTGGACTTTGATTTGGATTCTATTTATTTATTCATGTTTTTGCATACATCTGTTTGATGTACTCATTCATTTTCTTCAATTGCTCATAGAAAAAGTGAATACTTTGTTGGATTCACATAAGTGGGGTTGTATCACCAGGTGAAAAGACTTCTTAAAACTGGAGGGAAGTTTATTTGCCTTACCTTAGCAGAGTCTCATGTTCTAGGTACTATTTCTCGGTTAAGCAAACATATCTTTTTTTTCTATAAGTTATTGCTTGCTTAAGTTATCTTGAGGAAATATTAAGCCTTAGTTATTTGTTTATAGTAAGCTTTGGGTTTGGAATGAATGTGCAATTATTAAATTGTTTTCGTTGTTGTATTCTACATCTCTGTTTACTTGCTAGTGCATATTCTGAGATAAATGTTGAATTGTTTTCTTTTGCAGTTTTGCTTTTCTCTAAGTTTCGGTTTGGGTGGAAACTGTGTGTTCATCCCATACCTCTGAAATCATCTTGTAGGCCTAGTCTTCAAACCTTTATGATTGTCGCAGAGAAAGATGATATTTCTGTGTTGCACCAGATAACATCATCATTCAATCGTTCTTCTCTTGATTGTAACAAAAGTCAGGTAGAATATCTGACCTCCATGTCTTTACTGAAGGATGAAGTATTCCATTAGCATTCATTTTCTACGAATATTATATTCTTTCTAATACGTATTTGAAAGCTTTTAATGTTTAACAGCCATGATGCATTGCGGTATATGTAATAAGGGAAAATAATACAGTCACTAAAAGTAGTGCACCGAATTCATGCACCGAATGACGTGGCACAATCTTGACCTTCAATTAATTATAACTTAATATTAATAGACGGTCAGGATTGCGTCACGTCATTCGGTGCATGAATTCGGTGCATTACTTTCGGTGACTATAGCATTACTCATGTAATAAGTATTGTAATACATGCAGGAATCTTTTAGCCTTTGGACTGACCTGGTTTTAGCTGTGGATATCCTTATTATAGTTTCACCTTAATATAATCTCTCTTGTTTGGAATGAAGAATCTTAAATTTTTTTGATGTTAACTGCTTTCTTTCCTTTCTTTTTTAGGCATTTGGTATTCATGAAGCCCTTGAAAAAGAGAACCAAATTCGTAGTGAATACTCCAATGGCTCCGATATATTGTATTCTCTTGAAGATCTACAATTGGGAGCTAAAGGGGATCTAAAGAGGCTTAGTCATGGTCGTCGGTTTGAGCTTGCACTGGGTGTACATGGGGACTCCCAGTTTGGTTATAGAGCTGTACTTCTTGATGCCCGAGAAGACTGTGGTCCATTCATTTATAACTGTGGGGTGTTTATTGTGCCAAAGGTGTTTCTTTTGTATTTCTTTCTTATTGTGTACTGCATGGTACAATAAGTTCTACAAAGGATAATAATTGTTACTCAAATCAAAGTCTGCTATTGGGTTCTTCTATTTGAAACATAACAGAATTTTAGATTTCAGACTCGGGCTCATGAATGGCTCTTCTCTTCAGAAGAAGGACAATGGATGGTAGTTGAAAGCTCAAAGGCTGCACGTCTTATTATGGTACTTTTACGTAGATTAATTGCCAAATCTCGGAAATCTGTTTTGTGATTCTTTTTGAGCTTCTTTAAATGCAAACTTTAAAGAAAATTTATCTGTTGAATGAAGGTCTTATTGGACACTAGCCATGCTAATGCCAGCATGGATGATATCCAGGTAAGAAATTTCTTCAATTTTTTTGTCAATGAGACATTTGTTTCGTGCCAACCAATGTTAATATTTAAATGTTCTCAATGACATGATCTTTCAGAAGGACTTATCTCCTCTAGTAAAACAGTTGGCACCTGGGAATGAAAGTGGAGCCCAAATACCGTATGTTGTAGCATTTGCTTCTTTTTATGAATTTCCCATGATTTCATATTCAAAAGTTTTTATTGTAGTATCCTAATTTTCGTATTAGAGCAGAAAGTTTGGTGCTGATGCATATTTATTTTGTGGACCAAATCAGTTTCTCTTGTGTTCTGCGTAAAACAGTGCTTTGGTGAATGTATTGTTGTCTTTGGTTGTTTTATATAATTCTTTGGTCCTGAGATTTTCTAAGATTGTGATATTGACACTCATTTTAGGTATAGACTGTGAAAATGAAAATTTTCTCATACCTTATGAGTCGTATATGACACAACTATTTGTTTGTTGAAGACTCTTTGGAAAACTTGCAATTTTATTATGGCATCAGTTTGAAGACTATTTATTCATGGCAGCATGTACTTATTAAACAGCACACCTATAGATTGTTTGTCGCTGTTGATGCTTGGATAAAGTTGTTAATTTGTTATAGACAAAGACATAATGCTATATGAACTTGGTGCGATGTGCATGATAATTCTGATATAGTTTTGTTATTGATTACTAGGATCATTCCCATATTTACATGGTAATTTGATGCTGTATTGATACTATACATTTTTGGTTAATATAAAAACTAAAACAATAATCTGTTCAATCTGTTGAGCATTTTTGGTTGTCAAGTTTTTACAGCTGTACTTGTAGTAATTTGGTAAAATGTGCACAATGTGCCAGGTTTATGATGGCAAGTGATGGGATCAAGCAGCGGAATATTGTTCATCAGGTCGATAATAAACTAAATCTACTTTATTTGAGTGTTTCATGATTTAATGGGCCGTTGACTATCTTGATTACTTGAAAGGTTTATTGGACTTGACTGGTTATATTAAATAAATGTACATAGTTGAAGGTTATTGTGTTATGGTATGTTGAGAATCTCAAAGGTTCTGCAGTTTTTTTACATTGTCTGTTTTGTGGTTCTTCCCTGCAACTGGTCTGAACTATTTCTTTGGAATTTGATTAAATAAGCTTGGTCTATATATAGTATTATTTTTTGCTTGCTATGATAACATATAGGATAAAACGATATATAGTCAAATTTTACTAATATTTAAATTGCTTTCAATTACTAAATTTTTATTTAATAAGTACATTAAGAAATATGTTTTATAGTAGTAATTGTTTTTGTACTTTTAATTATTAATACGTTTGCTTTGTTGTCAAAATCCCCTTGAGACCACTTATTTGGGATATACCGTAATCTCAAAGGAAATGTCCCTGAGATGCTGAATCCCAGTTCTTGTAAGCAAACTAAGCGTACCTCAATATATTTTTGAGATATACTTTAATTTCAAAGGAAATGTCCTTAAGATGTTGAACCCCAATTTTTTAATATACCAAGTTTTTGATATAAGAAGATAAATTTCTTTTTTTTTTAATAAACTAAAATATTTTGGCTCTTTGGCTGTAAATGAAAAAAAAAAAAAAAAAAAAAGATTTTTCAAGAACTAAAGAAGCTACTTTAATCTACTTTTGTTTATCTTTTTGAAAATATTAAATGTCCAAAATATCCTTATGTTGTTTTATAAATTTCAAAATATCCACATACTATTTATTGTTAATGTAATTGCTCTGTTTTTTTTGGTATAAGTTATGCTTGCCAGTCAAATAACCAACAATTCTTTTTTGGGAAGCTTTACTAATGAAAACTCAAATAAAAGAAGGCATGTCAAATGAAGGTGAAGACCACATGCATATTTGTTTAAAATCTCTAATTCTAATATACTTGATATTTGTGAGTCTACTATATGTTCTTTTAAGTTTGCTGACAGGCTGTGATTTTGACTATCTTCATTTAATCTTGAAATTCATTTTTGATTTTCCATCCCTTTTGTGATGCCTGCCAATTGCAATACTGGCCTTTCTATGTGGATTTAACTTTTGGCTGTTAACTTTTTTGATCTCGAGCATTATATAGTGTCTGAATTATCCTGAAGTTCCTGCTGTTTGCTCTCTTGTAGGTCTCATCTTCATTAACAGGATCGATAATTGTTGAAGATGTAGTTTATGAAAATGTTGATGCTGATATCAGTCGCTTATGGCCATCCGAAGATTTGAAATTCCGTCGCCTTGTCTTCCAAAGAACTCAGGGTCTGGTACAATCAGAAGCTTTGCTGATGAAGGATGTATCTTCTCATAAAATTGTGAGTGAAACAGATAGGAAGAAAGCTGTTTCATCTTCCAAATCCAAGCGAAGGGGATTTCAAAGACAGAATGATGGTAATGATTTTTGTCTTTAATGCTGTTGATTGATTTTAACAGCTATGCTAATTTGTGTTGCTTGACGGGTGACCTTAGGTTATTTCTATGTAGTTGATGTTTGGTAGTTCATGCAATTAGTGAAGTGTGGAATAATTTGATTTAAACCTTGCATTTCTGGACTTTTAAGTTTGCATGGGATCCTTAGGGATCAAGATGTTTTGGATCCTTCAACATTGATTTTCATTGATTACTATCAGCGGTGCCATGATCGAACGGTGATGGTACTATTAAATTTGTATAAGAAAAAAACTGAAATGTTTGGCAAGATAGCGGGATAGCTTTTAATGAAAAATGTTGTCTCTCTTTTATGAATTTCTACTCCTTACATGTGCATCATGAAATCTAGTATGATTAAGATATTTTATAGGTGCACTGCACAGTCATCACATTTGTTTGTGGTTCTTTTTGATTTTTCCTCATTGGTGCTGTAGATTCAGGCAACCGGCTGAAAGTCTATCATGGTTATTTGGCAAGTTCTTATCATACGGGAATCATCTCTGGATTTAGTCTTATTTCTTCCTACTTGGAGAGTGTGGCATCAACTGCAAAAACTGTAAGGATTTTATCCCTGTTTTATTGAAGAATCTTTTGTTCTCCCACTTTGGAGCTGTCTCTAATACCTTGGCTGTGGGTTTTAGTTTGATACTAAATTCCTGTATTCATTATTGCTGTTTGATTAAAGTAATTTGCATTTAACAAGTGATATGCGCATGGGTTTTACTAGTTTGTATGGCACATGAATCTATTGACTGCCTTATACTTTTTCAAGTTAAAGATTTAATGTTTCTGTTTCGTGAAACAGACGATGCATAGGTAGATTTCGTTTTGGGCTGTCTTTTTATAGGGTGGATGGTCCTCTAGATTTTTGTCTTCGCTGAGCTAAATAAAATTTGTAACTTCACTTAAATGATTATTAATGCAATTTCTTTAGTGACATTATTAAATTATTTACTTGTGGGATATCAAAGTTATTAATTTCCATAATTTTGCTTAAACTAAACAATATCTTTGCCAGGCTAAAGCAGTTATTATTGGTCTTGGAGCTGGTGTACTTCCAATGTTTCTTCGTGCATGTATGCCCTTATTGGACATTGAGGTAAATTTTCCAAACCAATATCCCCCAACCGAGAAAGTATAAAATAGATAAAGAGGAAAAGAAACTCAGTAGAAGTAATAGAAATATACTCTTTCTTTTTTTTTTTTTTCATTTTTTTGCTTTTTTCTTCTTGGTACAATCATAATTTGGTGAATCAATTTGTCGCAGGTGGTGGAGTTAGATGATATCATGCTTAATCTTGCAAGGGACTACTTTGCTTTTACTGAAGATACAAATTTGAAGGTAGTAATAGCTGATCTTGATTCCATGTTTATATCTTTTATTCTTGTCAACTAAAACTTGAATGTTTGTATCCTCACATGTTCAAATATAATTCTTTAAGTAATAGTAGACTGATGTTTTTGAAATTGTGGTGAAGGGACATTGAAAAGATATAACTTATCCAGCTGTTTCGCAAAATCCACAATTAAATGCCATGTTTATGTTTTTATTTATCTGCCATAATATCATATTTGATTCCTCAATGACATCTGCAGGATAAGATAGAAAGTATTTAGAGGACCTAACTAGAATAAAGAATTACATCTATTTTACAGTTTTAAGAATGTGAAAAAACTTTTTGTAAATCCTTTATTGAGACTAAGAAACTCACATTACTGTTTAAACTGAAATATCTTAACTCTTGTTATTGTAGCTGTCTTGTTATTGTATTTTATGCTCAAGTAGATTCTCCTATGATGATTCAGGTACATGTTGCTGATGGGATTCAGTTTGTTAGAGAAATCACAAACTCTTTTGCAGCTGATGAACTGCCTGTTCATGGAAATTTCGATGCTTCTGACAACACGAGACTTCCTCTCAATGGAAGTTGCAGTGCGTCTAGTACAAAAGTTGTTGGTAGTAGCAGAGTTGATGTTCTAATTATTGACGTGGACTCCTCCGATTCAAGGTGAATGCAATTGAATTTTATTGCAATTTTTTCCATTATTGTTGAGAAACTGTTAAGAGTAAGAGGGTCATTTGTTTTCTTTTGAAAATATTAAATGTCCAAAATATCCTTATGTTGTTTTATAAATTTCAAAATATCCACATACTATTTATTGTTAATGTAATTGCTCTGTTTTTTTTGGTATATTTTGCTTGCCAGTCAAATAACCAACAATTCTTTTTGAGAAGCTTTACTAATGAAAACTCAAATAAAGAAGGCATGTCAAATGAAGGTGAAGACCATATGCATATTTGTTAAAATCTCTAATTCTAATATACTTGATATTTGTGAGTCTACTATAGTTTCTTAAGTTTGCTGACAGGCTGTGATTTTGACTATCTTCATTTAATCTTGAAATTCATTTTTGATTTCCATCCCTTTTGTGATGCTATAGCATTACTCATGTAATAAGTATTGTAATACATGCAGGAATCTTTTAGCCTTTGGACTGACCTGGTTTTAGCTGTGGATATCCTTATTATAGTTTCACCTTAATATAATCTCTCTTGTTTGGAATGAAGAATCTTAAATTTTTTTGATGTTAACTGCTTTCTTTCCTTTCTTTTTTAGGCATTTGGTATTCATGAAGCCCTTGAAAAAGAGAACCAAATTCGTAGTGAATACTCCAATGGCTCCGATATATTGTATTCTCTTGAAGATCTACAATTGGGAGCTAAAGGGGATCTAAAGAGGCTTAGTCATGGTCGTCGGTTTGAGCTTGCACTGGGTGTACATGGGGACTCCCAGTTTGGTTATAGAGCTGTACTTCTTGATGCCCGAGAAGACTGTGGTCCATTCATTTATAACTGTGGGGTGTTTATTGTGCCAAAGGTGTTTCTTTTGTATTTCTTTCTTATTGTGTACTGCATGGTACAATAAGTTCTACAAAGGATAATAATTGTTACTCAAATCAAAGTCTGCTATTGGGTTCTTCTATTTGAAACATAACAGAATTTTAGATTTCAGACTCGGGCTCATGAATGGCTCTTCTCTTCAGAAGAAGGACAATGGATGGTAGTTGAAAGCTCAAAGGCTGCACGTCTTATTATGGTACTTTTACGTAGATTAATTGCCAAATCTCGGAAATCTGTTTTGTGATTCTTTTTGAGCTTCTTTAAATGCAAACTTTAAAGAAAATTTATCTGTTGAATGAAGGTCTTATTGGACACTAGCCATGCTAATGCCAGCATGGATGATATCCAGGTAAGAAATTTCTTCAATTTTTTTGTCAATGAGACATTTGTTTCGTGCCAACCAATGTTAATATTTAAATGTTCTCAATGACATGATCTTTCAGAAGGACTTATCTCCTCTAGTAAAACAGTTGGCACCTGGGAATGAAAGTGGAGCCCAAATACCGTATGTTGTAGCATTTGCTTCTTTTTATGAATTTCCCATGATTTCATATTCAAAAGTTTTTATTGTAGTATCCTAATTTTCGTATTAGAGCAGAAAGTTTGGTGCTGATGCATATTTATTTTGTGGACCAAATCAGTTTCTCTTGTGTTCTGCGTAAAACAGTGCTTTGGTGAATGTATTGTTGTCTTTGGTTGTTTTATATAATTCTTTGGTCCTGAGATTTTCTAAGATTGTGATATTGACACTCATTTTAGGTATAGACTGTGAAAATGAAAATTTTCTCATACCTTATGAGTCGTATATGACACAACTATTTGTTTGTTGAAGACTCTTTGGAAAACTTGCAATTTTATTATGGCATCAGTTTGAAGACTATTTATTCATGGCAGCATGTACTTATTAAACAGCACACCTATAGATTGTTTGTCGCTGTTGATGCTTGGATAAAGTTGTTAATTTGTTATAGACAAAGACATAATGCTATATGAACTTGGTGCGATGTGCATGATAATTCTGATATAGTTTTGTTATTGATTACTAGGATCATTCCCATATTTACATGGTAATTTGATGCTGTATTGATAATATACATTTTTGGTTAATATAAAAACTAAAACAATAATCTGTTCAATCTGTTGAGCATTTTTGGTTGTCAAGTTTTTACAGCTGTACTTGTAGTAATTTGGTAAAATGTGCACAATGTGCCAGGTTTATGATGGCAAGTGATGGGATCAAGCAGCGGAATATTGTTCATCAGGTCAATAATAAACTAAATCTACTTTATTTGAGTGTTTCATGATTTAATGGGCCGTTGACTATCTTGATTACTTGAAAGGTTTATTGGACTTGACTGGTTATATTAAATAAATGTACATAGTTGAAGGTTATTGTGTTATGGTATGTTGAGAATCTCAAAGGTTCTGCAGTTTTTTTACATTGTCTGTTTTGTGGTTCTTCCCTGCAACTGGTCTGAACTATTTCTTTGGAATTTGATTAAATAAGCTTGGTCTATATATAGTATTATTTTTTGCTTGCTATGATAACATATAGGATAAAACGATATATAGTCAAATTTTACTAATATTTAAATTGCTTTCAATTACTAAATTTTTATTTAATAAGTACATTAAGAAATATGTTTTATAGTAGTAATTGTTTTTGTACTTTTAATTATTAATACGTTTGCTTTGTTGTCAAAATCCCCTTGAGACCACTTATTTGGGATATACCGTAATCTCAAAGGAAATGTCCCTGAGATGCTGAATCCCAGTTCTTGTAAGCAAACTAAGCGTACCTCAATATATTTTTGAGATATACTTTAATTTCAAAGGAAATGTCCTTAAGATGTTGAACCCCAATTTTTTAATATACCAAGTTTTTGATATAAGAAGATAAATTTCTTTTTTTTTTAATAAACTAAAATATTTTGGCTCTTTGGCTGTAAATGAAAAAAAAAAAAAAAAAAAAAGATTTTTCAAGAACTAAAGAAGCTACTTTAATCTACTTTTGTTTATCTTTTTGAAAATATTAAATGTCCAAAATATCCTTATGTTGTTTTATAAATTTCAAAATATCCACATACTATTTATTGTTAATGTAATTGCTCTGTTTTTTTTGGTATAAGTTATGCTTGCCAGTCAAATAACCAACAATTCTTTTTTGGGAAGCTTTACTAATGAAAACTCAAATAAAAGAAGGCATGTCAAATGAAGGTGAAGACCACATGCATATTTGTTTAAAATCTCTAATTCTAATATACTTGATATTTGTGAGTCTACTATATGTTCTTTTAAGTTTGCTGACAGGCTGTGATTTTGACTATCTTCATTTAATCTTGAAATTCATTTTTGATTTTCCATCCCTTTTGTGATGCCTGCCAATTGCAATACTGGCCTTTCTATGTGGATTTAACTTTTGGCTGTTAACTTTTTTGATCTCGAGCATTATATAGTGTCTGAATTATCCTGAAGTTCCTGCTGTTTGCTCTCTTGTAGGTCTCATCTTCATTAACAGGATCGATAATTGTTGAAGATGTAGTTTATGAAAATGTTGATGCTGATATCAGTCGCTTATGGCCATCCGAAGATTTGAAATTCCGTCGCCTTGTCTTCCAAAGAACTCAGGGTCTGGTACAATCAGAAGCTTTGCTGATGAAGGATGTATCTTCTCATAAAATTGTGAGTGAAACAGATAGGAAGAAAGCTGTTTCATCTTCCAAATCCAAGCGAAGGGGATTTCAAAGACAGAATGATGGTAATGATTTTTGTCTTTAATGCTGTTGATTGATTTTAACAGCTATGCTAATTTGTGTTGCTTGACGGGTGGCCTTAGGTTATTTCTATGTAGTTGATGTTTGGTAGTTCATGCAATTAGTGAAGTGTGGAATAATTTGATTTAAACCTTGCATTTCTGGACTTTTAAGTTTGCATGGGATCCTTAGGGATCAAGATGTTTTGGATCCTTCAACATTGATTTTCATTGATTACTATCAGCGGTGCCATGATCGAACGGTGATGGTACTATTAAATTTGTATAAGAAAAAAACTGAAATGTTTGGCAAGATAGCGGGGTAGCTTTTAATGAAAAATGTTGTCTCTCTTTTATGACTTTCTACTCCTTACATGTGCATCATGAAATCTAGTATGATTAAGATATTTTATAGGTGCACTGCACAGTCATCACATTTGTTTGTGGTTCTTTTTGATTTTTCGTCATTGGTGCTGTAGATTCAGGCAACCGGC